CCCCACTTGTTAGAACTCTATTATTTTAGCTACACTAAAAGAGAAACAGATCACTTGCTGAAGTTGAAGGAATCTTTAACAAATGCATGAACTAATAAAACTGTCAGCCACACACAGTATGCTACATATAAGCAGACAGAGGAAAAGCGAGCTTGCTTGTGCTAAAAGGAAAAAATGAATCAGAGAGGATGTTTCCAACACCAGCATTAAGTTAAAGATATCAAATCCAAAATTATGGCCAGATATTAATTAAGTATGGAATGTTTAATCCTCTCAAGGTAAGCTTAAACAATTTCTTAAACCAAAGGTGTGGAACTGTACTCCTCGAGAGTAAAGTCACCATAGAAAAATCCCAAACATTTAGATAATCATATAAAAAGTGCCAGTGATTTCATCATGTTTACCAGAGGGCATAGTTTGACTTCTAAAGAGTAATAATTGAAGAGATGCCATCCAGGTAATACTTACCTAGCAAATTGATGCCATCATTTACAATGAGCTGTCCGTGACGCAAATAGTTCAAAATTGGTTCAAAATACTCTGGACTGCGGTCAATTAGGAATGCTCCTCTATGATCTTGCTTATTTCCCCAAGCATCTGCTTCCACAAAACACATATCATTAAGTTTGATACATTAATAGAAAAGCATTTGCTTCAGTTTCATATTGTTACTGCCAAGGGGGTACTTTCCAGTTGCAAGGGTGTTTTTTAGAGAAAAGGAAGGAAAGTAAGAGTGAGGGGACAATATCCCCTTACCTCTAACTCTCTCCTGCTATAAATAACTAAATATTTCACCACATGCATAAGAACCATTGCTAGAATAAAAGCAGCATTAAGATTTTACTCTGCCCCTGCTTCATACAGTGTTTGCCCATTGATCCTGGTGACAAAACATCAAGACACAACACAAATAGGAAAACCTAAAATAAAAATAAAAAGACCCCAAACATATGAACAAGAGCTTCAACTTGACAGTGCCTTTTACCTACTCTGCTAATTTGTTAGCTTAAAAGGTGAATTTTATTTCAAGACACTAACCTTTATCTTTAAACATGTGGGCCAACATACTGTCAGGTTCTTTATTCACCAAAGTGCTCCTAGAAAATAAAGGCAGTGCAATTTTACTTTTACAGTGGAAAGTTTAGCTGAAGAGACACACTTGCTGGTTGCAATGTATTTCCTGCCTTTGGCAGCTTGAGGGTAGTAATGGTGTGCAATATAAATTCCAACAGCTACAACACTAAACTGATTTAATTTCATACAGTGCAATAACAAAATATATTTCTGACCTCAAAGGTATCTCAAACGTATTTTAAATACAAAGCACTTAGTTATCTGAAATATTCCAGGGATAAATCCAGGCCCATTCAGGCTTTCTGCCAGTTTTACCACACATGTAAACTGTTGAATTATTGCAAAACTGCAGTAGCAAATGCCTAATACCAAAAAAGCTGCAGAAGTCAAAGGCCTCTTACTAAATAGTCAATGATTTTTGTAGCTCTTTCTCAAGAGCATCCAGAGCCTCACCACCTAAGCCAGCTGCTGTAACCACTGAAATTAAGTCCTTCAGAAGCCAAACTAGTCCCATTTTTACCGTGTTGTGGTGAAGTATCGGCCTCCAACATTGAGTGTTAACCAGTCTGTGTGCGACCCAGTTAGTTCCTCGTGAGGTCTCGCATCAGTCTGAGGATCTACACAGGTGAGGAGAACACAACAATTATTAGAAAAACGGTAACTATTTCAAAATCCTTCATGTGATAACAGGTATCTCCTGAAAACTGCAGAAAACTATTTTTTTTAATTTACCTAAAGCAAACCAAACCCTCTTTCCATTAAAGAAGAGGTCAAACAAGAATTACAGAGACTTACCAATGAATGGTTCCCCTTCACAGACAAAGAGAACATCATCATCCCTGAAAGAGGGAAGAGAAAGATAAGAAAAAAAGATTAAGCATAGATCTTTTTTCATCTAAATGACAGTAAGACCCCTTCCTGATTACTTTCAGGTAAATGATAACCAGTGGCCATTAATTAGAACTTCAGTATCTGATTTTTGTCCTGATTTTGCAGATTCCAGGGGACTGCAGTACTGTCAACTTCACTAGAGATGCTACCAATAGATACCTGTCTCCATCAGGTAGGAATCACTTTTGTTACTCAACAAGTTTAATTTTACAAGAGTTACTTTTCTCCCCAGTCTGGGTGGATTATACCAAACCAAAACAATGCTACAGTTTGTCTCCTTTTCAAAAAAAAAAAAAACCTCATCCCACTGCTGAATGAACAGTGGGACTTTGCTGGTGCGTTCATTGCACCCTGAATCAACAGAGGGATGTTAAAAGGCATAAAATGCAGCTCGTGTCAAATTCTGATTCACCAAAATAGAAACGCTTTGAAGTTCCACAGAGAGCATTATTTTGCCTGGAGGTGAAAGCACCTTTGAGGATACTGGCTGGAAATGGTGAGATCTGTTTTGACAGAAAGCTCTTGTTATTGATTAAGGTCAGAGCATTGACAGGCTATTAAGTCTCTTAGTCCACATCCACGATTTGAGTTTTACTGGATAAACCTTACCTAATCAACGCGATATCATCAATGAGTCCGCCTTTTCCATTGTAAACACTGGTCGCCTTTATTCCCAGCTTATTACTAGCCACAGACAGCAAATCTGACAAAGTGCCATACACGGCCACGACCTGGGGAGGAGAGAGGCAGCTGGAGACCCCCTTTTGCCCAGCTCTGCCCTTTCAGGGCCCTCACCCCCTTCCGACAGGGGAAGGAAGGTGTTCCCCTGCTAGTTGTGTGCAGGTTGGGCTCAACCTGCACTGTGATCACTCAGGAGACATTACTACCACGTAGCTTTTAAAGAAACCAGCAAAATTTCACAGAATCATTAAGGTTGGAGAAGACCTCCAAGATCACCCGGTCTAACCATCCCCCTACCACCACTGTCACCACTAAACCACGTCCCCAAGCACCCGGCCCAACCTCTCCTTGAACACCCCCAGGGATGGTGATGCCACCACCTCCCTGGGCAACCCGTCCCAGTGCCTGACTGCTCTTTCTGAGCAGCAATGTCTCCTCATTTCCAACCTGAACCTCCCCTGGCACAACCGGAGGCCATTCCCTCTGCTCCTGTCACAGTTACCTGTGAGAAAAGGCCGACCCCCAGCTCCCCACAGCTTCCTTTCAGGTACCCATACAGAGCAACGAGGTCCCCCTGAGCCTCCTCTTCCCCAGACCAAACACCGCAGTTCCCTCAGCTGCTCCTCACAGCCCTTGTGCTCCAGGCCCTTTGCAGCCCTTCTCTGGACACACTCCAGCACCTCCACATCCTTGTGTCAAGGACCCAGCACAGCACAGCACAGCACTGCAGGCGCAGCCATTCTGGGGCAGGTAGAGCAGCTTCCCCCCACTACCAGCAGGACCTTGGAGCTCTTCTCCAACCCCACTTACTCCCTGGTACCTTGACTCCCTTATTCCAAGGTTCCCTGGTTCCTTGGCTCCCATATTTTGTGGTTCCTTAACTCCCTTATTCCCTGGCTCCTTTATTCCACAGCTCCCTGGCACCTTGGTCCCTTATTCCATGTTTCCCTAGCTTCCTGACTCCCTTATTCCCTGGTTCCTTGGCTGCCTTACTCCATGGTTCCCAGGCTCCTTGGCTCCCTTATTCCATAGACCCCTGGCTTCTTGGTCCCTTATTCCATAGACCCCTGGCTCCTTGGTCCCTTATTCCCTGGCTCCCTTACCCCCTGGTACCTTGGCAACTTGGTCCCTTATCCACTGGCTCCTTGGTCCCTTATTCCATGGTTCCCTGGCTTCCTGACTCCCTTATTCCTTGGCTCCCTTATTCCATGGTTCCCTAGCTCCTTGGCTCCCTTTTTCCATAGATCCCTGGCTCCTTGGTCCCTTATCCCCTGGCTCCCTGACTCCCTTATCCCCTGGCTCCCTGATTCCTTGGCTGCCTTACTCCATGGTCCCCTGGCTTCCTGACTCCTTTATTCCCTGGCTCCTTGGTTCATTGACTGCCTTATTCCCTGGCTCCCTGGCACCTTGGTCCCTTATCCCCTGGTTCCTTGACTGCCTTATTCCCTGGCTGCCTTACTCCACGGTTTCCTGACTCCTTGGCTCCCTTATTCCATAAATCCCTGGCTCTTTAGCTCCCTTATCCCCTGGCTCCCTGACTCCCTTACTCCACAGTCCCCTGACTCCTCAGCCCCCTGGCTCCCCACGGCCCCCCAGTCCCCTATCCCCTGGCTCCCTGCAGCCACAGTTCCCTGGTCCCCCGACCCCAGGACTCCTCATCCCCTCATCCCCTCAGCCCCCCGGCCCGCTGCCCGCCCCCCCCCCGGCCGCACCTTCCCGTTCCGGGGGCTGCCGTTGACGAACAGCGTCACCCGCCGCATGCCGCCCGCCCGCTCCTCCCGCTGCACGAACCCGGAAGCGCGGCGCCCGAGCGACAGCGGCCGCGCCCAATCGGCGCCCCGCCCCGCCCCGCCCGACGGCCAATCGGAGGCGAGGAGGCGGGGCGGAGCGCTGCCGGCTGCCAATCAGCGGAGGAGAGAGCTGTGGTATTTGCATACAGTGGCTCGACGCCGAGCGTGGACTGTGATTGGCTCGCCAGGTCACGTGGGGTGCGTCAGAGGGGCGGTTATTTCAAAGCGGTGCTGCGTCCCGGCTGTAACGGTTCTTGATCCTTCCGCGCTCGGGTTGTCAAAGAGTCCCCAACCCCTCCCCCCACTACCGGCTCCGGGGGACGGTGACAGGGGCTCGACCGCGTCTCGGGGTGGTCGCTTTATCCCCGAGAACCTTGGGCCGCGGTGGCTGCGGGCTGTGAGGGAGGGGAGCCGAAGGAAGGGAAAGCGCGGAGGGATACGCGGCGGGGCGGCCCGGTTTGAACGCGAGAGGCGGGCGGCGGCGGCGGTGAGGCGGCTGTGAGGGGGGCGAGGCGCTGAGGGGACCCTGAGGGGAACGGGGGGCGCTGAGGGGATCCGCTGGTGCTAAGGGGCCCCTGAGGGGTTGGGGGACTCAGAGGGGACCGGGACGAGGGGTTTTGTCCCTGCAAGGGTCGCCAGGGACTCCTCGCCCAGCCCCGTCTCTGTACAACCCCAGGGAGGGGGTGTCAGGTCTTGCTGTGACTTGAGAACATGCGGGGTTTAACGGCTTAATTCCTGCTCCGCAGTATACAGAAAAAGCATGCCTTCGTGGGGATGAAGTTTCTGTCATGTTTTCCTGGATTCTATACGTTTAATCTTAAAATGCAGGAAACCAAGCATAAAAGGCATTAGCGTCTTTAACTTCACCAAGTTAGCCTTTACTAATGCTATCTAATACTTATTGCAACATTTATTATAACAAAGCAATCACAGTGTGGTTGTGGTTCACATATTTGATGCTAACGTTAAGTTTGTCACAGGGTAAAAGTGCAGCCTCCTAGTTACTTGTGAAACATCTGTGGTGAGGTGACAGGTGTGTATTTTTATTTTTCTTCTCAGCATTTTTGTGTCTTTTCTGTGTAGCTTTCTGGAGATGCACCTTTCCTTTTCCACCCACACTGATAAACCCCTCACTATAGAAAAGTCCGGGAAATTCTGAGGTCTGGTAGTAGTTTGTGAATCGTAGTGGACTCTTACTGAGTGCCTATTAACATTTCTTATTCTCTTTGATAGGGAGCTGTCATTATGGGAGAGCAAAGAATGACTCAGTGTTTCATTTGCCTCAAAATCCCTCACTAACAATGCACAGACTGTCAAAGCTTGTAAATGTTATCCTGGAAGTTAGAGGTAATGAGACTGGAAACACTGAAGAGAAGGAAGAGACCTCTTTTTCTGATCTATCAAAAGACCAGAAGATTTGCAAAGTGACTGAATCAAAAGCCACAATGGCATCTGAGAAGGAGAATTTAAGCGATGGGAACCAACTGTGGTTGCAAAAACAAGCGCTGAAATACTCCAAAGTCCTAGAGAAGGAATCATCCCACAGCAGAAAGGATGCTAGCTGTCCGCTTGCTGAATGCTCTGTTGATACGCTGAAAGGGGATGTGCTTGGTGAACCTTCCTGGTCTTTGAACAGTAAGGAAAATTTTTCAAGAAGTGGACCCGGTTCTTTGGGGGATGAATGCTGCTTGCCACCCAACAGGGACAAAGCCGAAGAAAAATCCTATTGTGGAATAGTGGAGAAACCAAGGAGAAATATGGTTGACTTTGCAACTGTAACAACTGCTGAATTTGGGATTACTCAAGAAAGTTTTACTAGTCCACCTATGGGTAAGGCCAGAATGATTCATGTCCTGTTGTCCTTCTCAGAGGGACATCTGGAGGTCATCTAGTGCAATCCCTATTAAAAGCTTCAGTTTGGCCAGGTTGAGATTGTCTGGCTGAGTTTGGATATATCCAAGGACAGGAATTTGATTCAATTCTCTATTTGCGCTCATTCCCTGTTCTATTTTTTTCTGTCTTGGTGACAGAAACTTTCACAAAGGAGTTGAGTAGCAGGACAAATTCTGCAAGTATTGTGTGTGGTTCCTTAACCTGCACTTGAAAAAGTTGAAAAAATTGAAAAACAGCTGAATTTCTCACTTATGTAGTTTAGTTAAATGTAAATCTTGCTTTTTGTCCTCTTTTTTCTTACGTAGAAAAAGAATGTTCTACGTCTTATTTTTCTGATAGTTGAGCAGAGTTTTAGAATCTGTTTTGACTTAGTTGAAAGCATGAAAGAGAAGGAAGGTTTCCTAAGCTGAGCAGTTAAATATGACTGTTTCCATAAATAACACAAACAAATCTTTAAAAAAACAAAACAACAAAAAAATCTGCCATGAAAAAGCCGTAAGTATTCTGCTGTAATTTTTCTTTTTTTTTTTTTCCTCCTGTGTCATTTCAGGGAAGTCTCCAAATGCATTAAAGTTAAGACGAAGATCAGCAATTGGAGTACGAGGGTCACCAGAAAATAATGCCCTTATTCAGTACCTTGCTCAGCAGAGAAGCAATCGGCAAAAAGAAACTTTTACACAAGTGAGTCTTGCTCCAATGTAAAACGTGTTACTTTAGTTTCCCTTTGAATCGATGGGTAAGACTTCAAATTTAATGTATGCTGGCAGAAGGAGAGTACAAGTCTAAGGAAGAAGTCAGTAGAAGAAATAACAGCGGCTTGAATTTTGTTCACTTCCTTAGGCACCTTGCTTTAAAATAAGGAGATGTTGCAGGTTTTGATTCTGTAGAGTCTAGTCTCCCCCATGCCTGATTTGCTCGTATATTTTAAATTTTGTTTACCTACATTTTGCTGCATTTGCCATACTTGATATCTGACTAATTAAAGCATTGGTAGTCCAAGATAAAGTAAATACTAACACGACTTTTTTTTTTTTTTAAATCAGACTTTTAAAGTTATCTTTTATTATTTCAAACTAGCATAGACCGTCAGAAAACTAATTCTGGAAATGGCCTAGAAGGAAACAGCAGATTACTTGATATGATGCATTTTTACTTTTGTACCATGTAACTAAAGCAGCAGCCAGATAAAATAAAATATTCTCTTCTTCCCTGGGTATGTTTTATGCTGAAGTATAAATACAAAGTAAAAAAGCTCATGTCATCTTAGAAAAAGTATCTCATGACATTAATTTTCTTTTAGCCTGCTAGTCCTTTTAAATTCGCCAAGTCATCGAAGAACAAAATCACTGTCTTTCAAACACCTTTGAAATCAGTGCAAGAAGCTGAAGGGCAGAAGAACTTCCCTGGACTCTCACAAGCGTCTGGTACTTCTCAGGAAGCAGAGTGTTGTAAGTTAATTGTATTTCTGGTACATGATTTATCTTAAACATTAGGTCTTTCTTTAAAACAAAACCTATTAAGCAACACAATATAAACCAAAATTTTTTCCTTTACAAGGGTAGACAATGGTTTTGTTATGTCTGTTTGTTTTTGGTTTGAGGGTTTTTAAGTCTGTCTTATTTCTTAGTGCATCCTGAACAGTGATTTCTCAACAAATCTTGCAGAACATTGAAGACTGTTTTTCATGGTTGTTCTCTTAACCTTACTTTCCAGATTTATGCCTTTTCATGTACTTTTCACAAATTATTAGTATTTTCATACTTCCAGGAACGTGGGAATGGTTTTAAGGATTGTAATAACTGGTTTTAGCTCTTCTTACTCTTACTCGTCTTGTTTGTGGAGGCTTCTGTTCAGTAGCTTTAGGTGCAGTAACTTAGAAATCACGATGCATTACTGCGTGTTGTGAATTTCATTATTTCCTAATGGAAATAGCAAATATTGCGAAAGTAGGTCACAACAGTACTGTGCCAACTAAAAACATATAAAATTCATTACTTCTCTGGTACTGCTGGTATTCATACATTTATATAAAAGGAAGAACTTGCTTTGTTTTGAAGATTTGGTAATGTTATTTTCAAAGTTGAAGTCAAAATTGGATGATTTTTTTCCTAGCTAGAAAAGTACCTAACATACTGAATCTTACATTCTTTTGGTGAAGAAACACCAAAATAGCATTGCCTGAAAGATTTGAAGTTTGCTGTTGAATTGTCGTTTGTTTTTTTTTATCACTGTAGCTGAGAACCAAGTACCATTCACAACAAAGCGCAGTCTGGATCAGCAGAGTGAGAAGCCTGTGTCTGACTACAGTGGAGCTGATTTGAAAGAAAATTTAAAACAGAACTTGAGCTATGGCAGTAAGCCTGATTCCAAGATGTGCACCAGCTTGTCTTCACACCAGGATGTGACTGTCACTGAACCTGCTCTTTCTAAGGTACTTACACAAATGTGGGCAAAGAAAAATAGCGCAGCAAATCTCCCTTGGAAGAATTATTTTGTCTTATTATGACAGGCCAAGGAAAGCAAAATCTGGTGTGGACACTGATGTTACGGACAATGGGGATGCTACAAGCTGTCCTAGTTAGCAAGATTATTCTGATAATTATATGGAAGTTATTCTATTAATAAGATTTAAATATTTATTAATTTATTTTGAATACAAAACTGGCACTGTGGGATGTCAAGTGCACAGATCTGGCAAGTTGCTTTTTGCAGATGTCAAAACCAACCCTACTGCTCATTGGGATGGTTTTGAATGCGATTTTAAATCTCTGCCTTGTACGTCTTTGGCAGTTGTTTGATATTCCATGTAAATTAATTCATCCTCATTTCCATTTATGGTACCTAATCCTTTTAAGTTTTCAGCCTTGTTATCTTGGGAAAACTAATACAACTCAAGTAATGGATGTCTGAGGAAGCTGCAATCCTTGTTTCTGCTGAGATTAAAAACTAGTTAATGTTTTTACAAGGCACCATTTGCAAGTAGTTCCTTTTGTCTTTGGCCATTGAGACTGATTTGAAGAACTTCAGGTTCTTTGGCCAGATAGGTGTGATCTGTGCTATTTGGATTGAAAGGTTCAGCATGCAGGTGAAAAGTATTTTCTGCTATATTCAACAACTGTATTCAGTTGAGGATTGAGAAACCTCAGTGTGTTTTAAGAATGCCAGTTGATACTTCCGGTGCTAATGGATGAAGCAGTCCTTTGGCAAGTATCCCTTGTATACATTAGGAATGAGTTAGTGAGCATACAGACAAAAACAGATAGATGTCAAGTACTTCACAAAACTCAGCAGATTATTTTATCTCTTTATCATGTCGTGGGAGTGTATATGTATCTTTGTATTCTTGTAACTTTTTCTAGGAATGGGCTTATAAGCAACACAATCCTATTGAATATTCGGATGCAATTCTCATTAGAGATATCTTAGAAATGAGCCATGGTAAGAAGTTTTGTTGTTATTATAATCTTGTTATATTCTTACTAGAAACTAACGTATATATTTGGAAGGTGGAGCAGGTCCTCTTGGGTGGTATGTTAGCTATGTGATACAAAAAGCAAGTTCAAGCAGATACAGGGTGGCAATAAGTGTTTAAGAATTTCTCTTGATTTTGCTAGGCCATGCTTAAGGAAAAGTGTCACTGAGCACTTCATGTCTGCGAAGCAGAATGTGCAGACTCATGGGCAGAGAGAAATCCCAATGTGAAATCTTACCCTTTACGTAACACTCCCATTTCATTTCTGTTTTTAATAAATTGCTCAAAGTATGAAAAAAATCTGGCATAACAGTAGCAGAAATTCAGAAAATAATTGATTTTTCTTGATATACCAAGTGAAATTGCTGAGAAAATCTATTGATGTGTGTACATCTATAGTTAAGATTGCTAATACTAAAGCCTTCTCAATTTTACTTCAGTCTTCAATTTTCACATCTGTGTACTTGCTCTAAAGATTTCAGTCCTGACCATATCAGTAAAGTCAGAAGTAATATCATATCAGACCTATACAGAAAGAATGCTAATTTTGCAGAACTGAGCCTGGAAATCCATGATGAAAGCAAGCCACCTGTCACACCACTACGAGTGGGAAGTGCTTCATTAAATGAACGTACAAAGAGTGGCTCCCAGCTGCGATCTGTGCTGAAGAAAACACCACCAAAAGAACTGACGGATTGCATTAAGGTTGGTCTACTTAGGTGGTGGTGGGAATGCTAAGGCTAGGCTTAGCATTTGATTTGAAAAAGGACAATCTTTAATTATGTAGTACTGATTAGATGATTTTATCACTTAAATTTTTATAGGTATACTCAGCTGATACTGTTGGCAGTGGAGGAAGAGAATCTCTCACAGTCTCTGAAGTAAAAATCTATGAAGCATTGCAAACAGGTCTGACTCCATTTTTATGGGTTTTCTTATTTATTTACTTTGGTGGTGGTGGTGGTGTAAATAGAGTATTCCTTAGGATGATAGGGTCTTGCCTTTTTGCAAAATCTGAAGAATGTTTTGCATTAACCACCACTGAAGGAAGTAGCTCACACATAAGGTCCTATCGAGTAAAGTCGAAAATAAAGTTGTCAAGGAAAAAAAAGTCACTTCAGAAACCCTTTAATAGCAGGATTGATAGTATTGCTTACATTTCAAGAAATTTTACACTTGTCTAGTTGACAAGTGAACTTGCAGAATAGTTGAACTTTTCTAGGTTTCTATTTTTTCCTTAATTCTTGATAATATAATAAAGCTAAACTGAAAATCCCCGTTGAATCCACAGGGCATCTAAGGGTGGTATTTTGCTGTTTGGTTGGGGGTGATTTTTCAGAGGATGTTAAGTCCTGTGAAAAGACCTTGTAAAGTCTCTGCTCTCTGAATACTCTGCTTTGAGTTCATTAAGCAGTTGGTGTCTTTTGCTACAGTAGAGAAAACTGAACAATATAGCTCTGAAAGGCCAAAGAAGAAAAAAGTTACTTTTGGAGAAGATCTCAGCCCAGAAATATTTGATAAAACTTTGCCTGCAAATACTCCCTTGCGCAAAGGAGCAACACCAGGCCGTCATCCGGGATCACAAAGCAATAGCCCTTTTACGAGGTCAAGACTCATTGAGGAGCCATTACCCCAGCCAAACTTTGATTGCGATGATGTAAGTTGGTTTAAACTACAAAAATAGCTTCTTACAGTCTCCATGAGCATTCAGTATTTTAACTTTTGTTTGCTCATCTTAAAGCAATGCGTTGAGCCTCTTGAAGAGTTACGAGAGGATTCTGTTGCTGCAGAAGACCTCTCACCTGTTGAAAATACCACAGGTAACCTTGAGTTGTGTTTTTGTCATTAGATAATGCAGCTTTCTGAAAATTGAAAGGTGACGGTTGTGGTTTTTTGTTTTATAGAGGTGATATTAGTACTAAAAGTTAAATGTTCTTGCTTTCTTCCAGAGGTCACTGGTGTAGCTGCAGAGTCTGCCTGTTGTTTAGGTAAAGTGGATGTTATTTCAGCTATTATTCTGTGCGAGTGGCTGATCTAATTAGACTTACTGCTTTAAATAATTTGGTTTACTATCTTAATTAAGATATTGCAATTTTGATGTTTTTAAAATAGCAAGCAACACAACAAGAAAATGGAAAGGGGGATATACATTTGTGTGTATGTCTCTCAATGAAGGCTTTACAAGCACTAATTTTGTTAACCAAATCCTCCCAAGTTTTGTGTTCTTCTGTTCTGATTTATATTGTAAGGCAAGCTGTTTTTTCTTTAATCTTTCCATGTTTGATAGTCCTTTATGCATAAAATCTTACTTAAGACTAAGATCTAAACATGCTGTGCATGATGTTTAAAAACTGTGTGAATTATTTCCTCAATGTGTTTGGCCTTTTTTGTTGAACTGAACCAATATTTCTTTTTTCTTCATATACAGTAAAAGAATCTGACAAATCTTACACAATGACAACTCGTTCCTCTACTAAAAGGAAGGTAAGTTTCTTTAATGTTTTTTTTTATCATCTTCAAATAGGTATGTTCTGTATACCTCTCGAACATATATCAGCGCTTTTGCAGCCTCAGATAAAAGGATTGTATAAATCCAGGTATATGGAAATATCTCCTCTTAGCGCAGCTAAGGAAATCTCATTTAAGTTATTAAAAACAGCTTTGCTTACAGTCTGATATTTTAAATTTACGATTTCCATTTAATTTTGCTGGAACTTTCCCAAATAGTCTAGCCACAGCAGAAAGTTAGAGATATTCATATGCTTTAATTTCATTTTCATGCTTATGGGCTTCAGTCATGGAAATCTAGGAAGTTGCATTCATTGAACATTTAGGAGAACAGAAACAAAGTTTTCTGTCTAATTTTTCTGTTAGGTTTAACTTTTTTGAGATATTGGAGAGTGTGTGGGAGAGGCTAGTAACTTCAAATTTGTTCTGCAGCCTCTGATGATTCTCTCACTATTACTGAAAATGTGATTTGTGTTCCCAAGTCCAGTGCTGAAGATCTTCACTGTAACAGTGAATTGTCCACTAGCCATAAAACAAACAGACATCATCCTACCTGTATCTCTTCTGGTTGCTGGAATTTTAAGGTGCATAGAATTTCTTGTACAATTCCCAAAAGAAATGCTTTCAGACATGCTCCAGTGTTGTACAGTTCTAGAATGATTTATTGGAGGGGGAAGGAGGGGGGAAAAAAAAAAAAAGAAAGGCAATTAGAAAAGTAGCCCATCTTGTCAGAAAGAACTAACTGAAGATGAAAATTTACTATATTCTTATTAGAATATCCTTTTTTCTTAAAAGAGAGCTCTATTGTGAAGAGACAACCTCTGTAAATCTTAACTGCTGAGCGTCCAGCTTTTATGACTTCATATATGAAATAACAGACTATTTGCAGCGGGGTTCTTATGGCTGTTGGACTGTGTGGCTTTTTAGAAAAAGCAAACATGCACCTGCACAGATGCACATACACATGTGCCCCAGCAACTTAAAATTTCACGTTCCTCAACAGTGTAGCACCACTTCAGATGAGGTTGATCTTAGTATCCCAAGAGCCACAAGTGCTAAGAATGTTAAAGATACCAAAAATCCAAGGAAAAACAAACTTCAAAGACCAAAGAGTATTACCACATCTGCTGCCAAAAAGACACAAGTAAGTGACAGCCTGGTGAATAATAAATTTTATTTCTCTATCCAGATGTCTCATGCAGTTAATTTTTTCTTGTGTGTGTTTTTTTTGTGATTATTTTGATGTTTGTAGTAAAGATTTTCTAAAGAGTGTTTTGTTTCCTGTTGCTGCTGATATTCTCTTCTTCATGTCTGCCTTGTTTTCCTAGACTTACTGGCATACCTGCATTGCTTGTTAGGGCTGACTAGCAGGGCTTTAAACACTTGCAGGGCAGAAAGGGTACTTCAGAGACAAAGAGCAGAACCATTGCAAATTCAGGGACACAAGATGAGTTTGTGGTGCTTCTCTTATGAACTGTGGACAGTTGATAATTCTTTGAACTTCCCCCCTTGTATGCCAGTTTGTTTTAAGTGTTATAAAAGTGTGAGACTTCTGAAAGATTTGAGCTTTTCGTATATTGGAAGGGAAAGCAAGTAATCCTTTTCAAACCGGGAAGATACAAATAAGCACGGAAGAAGAATCTGTAGTTTTGAACTGAAAGACTCATTTTTTTGATTTCCAGATTTGGTTAAATGAAACAAACAGAACTCTAGTATCTAAGAAGTAATCCTTCTTTGTATTGTAGCTTTTAAATGAATGTGTAGATAGCAGAATAAGAAGGACCTTAATTTGAGAGAAACAATTGTTTTCTCTCAAAATCTAGTAACAAAAGTTATTTGTTGGAAAATATTGCAAAGGATCATCGTAATTGCATTGTGCTCTGCTTGGTCTTTTGCATCTCTTCAGAGAACAAAACATGCAAGCTCTGGGAAAAGAAGAAAGAGAAAAGTTAAAAAATCTTTGTATGGGGAAAGAGAAATGGCTTCTAAGAAGCCTCTTCTGAGCCCTATCCCTGAGATTCCAGAAGTTCTCTCTTCTGCCTCATCTCCAAGCTCACCAAAGGCAAATGCACTTCCAGGTAATGTGTTTGTAGTTTTGCTTTGCCTTACTCATTCTTTTTGCTTCAGTAGTTAGTAACAATGCTGTTGATAGTTATCTTCAGTTCTGTACATAGGTAAAGAGCACAGTATGCATTTTTCAGTTTTAATGGCTTCTGGAGTGGAATGAAGGAGAAATAAATGTTAGTCTGTAATAAAGCCCAAAGCATCCACTAGATTATTAGTCTCCAAGCGCATCACTTCAACTCTTACAGGACTCCAGTGTAAAGCAGACAACAAAAGAGACTCTGTCTTAACTGCAGACTGATGTTTTCATAGGCTTTAAAAATGCTAAGTGATGTGCAATAGCACTGTGGAGAGGCTTTTTTGATGCTGATTGTGTTCTGGAATGCTCATTTAAGAGGTTACTGTTTTGTGAGTTTGTTTCAGTACTCTAGAAATTGATTTCATACATTCACAAGGAGAGTCAGGTAACCATGTGTTATTCTGATTCAGAGGATGCATTTTTAGATTGGAAATCCAGCAGTGGTCAAAAGGATGTTCAATGGAAGCAAGCAATAGAAGGAATGAGAGAGGAAAACATCCCTGATGCTCACGTGTGTCCAATCTCTGAGGACCGGGATGTTGTAGAAACCAGCAGCCCTGACATTACGGTGTTTCAGGTGTCAGATGGTGATCTGAAGTCAGTTTCTGGCCCTGATCATAAGGTAAGTCATCTACTTCAGCATACTACTTGAAAATAATTTTTTTTCTTGGTGTTGTTACATCCAAAAAAGTAATGTTTCTGGGAAGGAAAAAAAAAGCTAGCTGTTAGTGGTTAAACATTGGAACAGGCTGCATGAAGAGGCCATGGCATCTGCATTCTTGGAAGGAAGTGTTCAGAACTTGACTGAACAAGTCCTCAGGCAGAATAAGGTGGCCCTGTTTTGGATCAGGTTCCTCCCAACGTGCAGGGCTGTGTTTTTTTTTTTTCTTTTGTTGGATTTTATTTTTGAGAATGACTAGACTTAATGAGGAAATCTGTAGAAGTTGTTTAATTGTCAGCTGTTCTAAACAAGTTTTATGTGGATTGTATCTGCCTATAATTTTTTTTTTCAGTTTCCAAGCATTGTACCAGACACAAACTATGTTTCTGACACATATCACTGTTTCCAGCAAGCTGAAGAGACTGAGTGTTTAAAAGAGGAAAAAGGAGGTGATTGCTTGATAGAAAATGATAACTTACAGGGAAATTTCCCAAATACGGAAGAGTGGCTAACAGGGCTAGAATTTCCAGAACAGCAGCACACTGGCATACATGAGATTGCCCAAAGAACTGGCCGGCCACCAAAAAAATCTTCAAGAGGTAGAGCAAGAAGGAGAAGCAGTACTGTCTATACTCCTCCTGTTGAAAAGTTTGATTTTGAAACAATTGGAAATGATCTTCCACTTCCTTTTAATGTGGAGGAAGTCTTATCTGCTCCTCAGCTGAAAAATGACTCCTCAGAAGGCCGAAGGAAGAATGGGAGCAGCAGTGAAACGAGCAGGGTGAGACGCAGCATGAGGCTACACAAAGATGCAGAAACGGAAGGACTGGCGTGGATTGAAGTGCCCAGTGAGATTCTAAAGAACCCTCCTCTGGTAGCTTCTGGTTGCAAAACCAGGAGAACGATAAGCACGTGTGTCCTTACAGAATCTGAGAACATTCACCACAGAGAAGAAAATCCCATACAGTTTGCAGCGCCAGGGAAGGAGAACAGTGACCCTGTTAATCCTGCTGATGGTTCTTGCAGACGATGGAGGAGGAAGAGCATGTGTGTACCAACGCCTCAGGAAACAAGAACTTGGTCTCAAACCCGGAAAAGGAGCATAACAAATTCCGTACATAGCAAGGACAGAAGGAACCAAAGACTCTCTGAAGAAGCAGAAATACCTGTTGAAAATAAGGCTAACACTTAGTGAGGTTTCAGATACCTCCCATTTTCTAAAGTGAAGGTCAGTATTAGATTCTTATATTCTCTGTTGGGAGTGCTATTTAGAAATAAGAAGTTCCTTTTATCTTCCACTTGCTTCCTTACTCACTATTTACTCACTAATTTCCTGGGCAACTTAGAACTGATTTTCCTTGTTTTGATGACTAAAATGCTTGAAGATCAGAACTTTGTGGAAGTCCTAGCTTGGCTCAGTGCCTTGGTCTGGTAGACAGTCACGACAGGTAACCAAGATGACAAAGTCTTTTTCTCCACGATGAACTGGGTTCTGATAACGTCCTCACCATTGTCTACCTGCTTGCTTACGTGTTTTCATACTTTAGTTCCATCTACAGAGCAATTCCAATTAAACACTGTAAATGTTATTAAAAACTCGACAAATGACTGACTTTCTCTGCAGTCACCAAGCTCAGTCATCTCATGAAGGCAGAGATTAATTTCTGTTGTGTACAAGGATTGCTGTAGGGACTAGTGATTTTTTTTTTTCAATATACAGCAGTAAGACGAAATAAAAACTTGTAGATGGATGAATAAACATTACTTATGCAATGTGCTTATAGCTGTGGCACCTGCACAGCAGTGTGGGTTTTCTGCCTGTGAAACTGAGCTGTGATTGTTAGTCTGGTTTGTCTCACGGATAATCTTGGCACATTTGCCCTATTCACAAACGCATGATCGATATATGAAGTTGGTAAATGGAGAGAAATCAGAAAACACGTGACATTTGGCAATTTTGAGTAACAAGGTTGATAACTAAAAAATATTCTTATAGTGAAAAGTTACTTTTTCTGTGAATGGGAGTTGATACTAATCCATACTTTGGTAAAAAGGACTTTTTTTTTTTTATTGAAAGAGAAGGACTCCAGCTTTGAAGTCTAATCAATGTACATAAAACCTGAATTTGTCTTGAGTAATCAAACCATATTCTAAGAGATCCCCTTTTAGCCAGAATTGTTCAATGTCTTGATATTTCCCTTGGGCTAGATCATTTTTATAAATTATTTTTGAAACCTGTGTTCTACATTTTAAAAGTGCCATTAAACAAAACTTTAGATTTTGGGGGGAAAAAAAGAAAAAGAAAGAAACAGAGTTTGGCTTGAAGGGGAGGAGTGTAAAGCAGCAAAGCTGTTACCTTATGCTGTAGAAACTTAGCCTTGCCTTGTCATACCAGAAGGGCAGAGTTTCTACAACTAAGGGCTAGGAAAGACCAGAAGGCTGGTCTTTTTAAAAGAAATAAAGAAATCAGTAAATTTGGCAAAACATTTTTTAAAACTTCATTGTTATATACAATTTTTCAAAATGAAATTGGCTAAGGGAAGTGAAATATTCATCGTGCAATAAAGCTGCATTTAATTTGTGATCTTCACTGTGTGTGTTTTATTTACACTGCATAATGTTCAGTAGTTGACCTGTCATCTTACTGTTTCAATTTTTCTAGTCTGAACAATAATAAAGCACGATGACTGTAGGTGGTCTACTTAAACATTGTTGTAGCTTTTGTTTTTCATACTGCTCTGTTTCCGTCCTAGCGAAATACCTGTGCCAGCTTTCAGGAAATAATTTCTCTTGAAAATTTTCTCTTCTGTGATCTTGTTGTTACCATTAGTGGTGTGGAATAAAATATTTTATGTAGTTGGCTGCTTTTATAAAACTTAAAAACAAACAGAACAATTTCATGTTTATGCATGTTTTACTTTTTCTCTACAGACGTCATCAGTTTTTCCCAAGACAAGAACTCCTAAGTCAACTTGAAAGGAACTCCGCTAATTAAATGGTGTTCATCTTGTACTGCTATAGAAATATTTTGGAATTTATCAAAACAGTCTCCTTCAGGTTTTATTTTGGCATTTGTGTCACAATGAAAATTTTCGGTTTGGAAACAGGATGGCAACAAGCAAGTTACTTGGGTTAAATTTTGTGGTGATAGCAGTATGTTGGCTTGCCAGGAGAGGGCAGTCTGACATGAGTTTTTGTGGTTATCACTGAATTATCTTGAAAATGTACAAAACTTTGAACAAATGTTAGCTGAAATTATAATCTAAAGTTATGTGTTATCAAAATTGACTAATAATAGCTGCTACTTCTAACAGTCAAAAAAAATCAGAACAGCAAGTGCACTAAGTACTAAAACTTATGCTAGAGAGGTGAAATGCTTATGCACTGTATTCAGATATGGCTTTCTATGTGGAAATCACATAGCACTCTTAAACACAGCAGGGCTCTGCAGTTGCTGCAGAGATGTTAGGGTTTACCTGTAACATCACATCAGTGTTTACCTGTTACATCACACCAAGCAGTGAGGGAAACCTCTGGAGACTGTGGGTGTCAGATCCTGAGTATCAGACTCGAACGGTCAGGTCAAGTACAGAGACGTCCTGGAGGAAGGAGGCAATAAACTAGCATATGGACACGAGAGGGCTGAATCTCCAAAGTGCTGCCTACAGCCTGCTTTTTGTGGTGCTGCTGTCCTATGCGTCAGTCACAGCAGCAGTGGAAGTGTGTTCTCCCTCGAGGTTCCTTGAGTGGATGTGTTAAGTGCACTTTAGATGTGGAGTGTAAGTAAAATCAGAAATAGACGAGCAAGGGTAAGGAGAAGGAAAAACGAAGCTTGCATTTGCCTCCTGGCACAACTTGGTTGAAAAAGGTTGAATTACGTATAGATGCTCGGTGGCAGTTCGCGTGGCTTGTTTGAGGGTGAGGTTCAAACCTGCAGAGAAATAAAGGTTGCAGTAACTGGGTTGAATCTGGAGAGGACTTAAGAGGAGGCGAGTCTTCAATTATGCAGGGCCTTGTTGGAGGAGGAGGTTAATGATCAGTTCTCCATATCTGTACTGGAGGGGACAATAAACAATGTTTGTAAATTAGAAAAAAATCTTTTTAAGCAGTAAGAAGCAGCTCCAGCACCAGAGATGGCTGAGCACAAGAATACATTGCCTCAGGAAGTTGTGAATCTCCAGCACTGGAGGCTTTTAAGAAAGATTAAGCAAACATCTGTAAGGAATATCTGCCTGTGACTTGCTCTTCTGAGGAAAAGCATCTCTTGACTCCTGGAATAGTGTAACCAGCAATTTGATGGCGGTGCTGCTTTGCAGGAAGGGTGACCAGCACTGTTCCCTTTCCAGTTTTGCTTTTCTAAAACTGAGTTTCCATAAACCTTTGAATGACAGCAGCTTCACTCTCCCCATTCAGTGAACAGAAGTACTTTGAGTTGGTCTCTTGTCTTTGTTGCTGGGTGAGGGTATAGGAATTAAAATTCAAGTATACGTGCAGTAAGTCCCAAGGTTCAAGAGATTTTGCAGTTGTAGTTGAGTTTTCAGCTGGTAATTGCAGCACTACCTGGAGCAGCCTTTCCTGGTGTTCTGTCAGGTTGGATTAGTCACTAATAACCACTTCCAGTTTTACTTGTGATGTGGTCGTTGGACAAGAATGCCCCAAATCAGCATTGTACAACTGAGCTGTGTTTTAGTTTGATCAGTCAAGCATCACTACACAATATGTTAGACCAGGAGCTATGCAGTCTCCTGTTTTGAAGGCTAGCCTTTGTAGCCTTCAGTTTAAGTCACCGTTTCAACTATTTTTAACTAAGTTCTGTGTCAAGTTTGTGTATTTTAGTGGCGTCAGAGGAAATTTGTGGTACTGGATGTTTTTACCTCTCATTCACTTTCACTACTATTCTAAGGGGAAGCTTTTCTCTCTTTAGAGGGTTATTATAAAGACAGGTCTGTGTATTCAGTAATGATATAGCTAGTAATATATTACCAATATATTGCTTTGTTTGTGCTTTCCCATGAAGTGCAGTCTTAAAGTATTCTTGGCTATTCAGGCAGCTGAATATGTGGAAGCAAGAAGGAGTACATCGCAGCTGGGATGGTCTTCCCATAGACTTGCATTCTATTAGTCAGTTGAGAATACAAAGAGCAGTAATACTTCACGTCCTGACTTCAGAAAGTGTTAAAGGGACAGATTAGGGTCTCTATTTCTATTTTCCAGCAGTTATTTTATGCCAGTGTTTTACCATAGTGAAGATGCTGACTGATTACAGAAGTGGAGACTGCATGACCAAGTTTTCTCCCATGTGATTTAAGAGAGTTCAAACAACTTTCTCAACCTGGCACTCACTGTAAGCAGTGGAAAGAAAATAAGGAGAATAGTATGTACTATTTTTATCATTTGCTGATAAGCTCTATTTGAAAATAATTGTAAATAAAGAGCTGAAGACATGAAGGTTTTTCTCTACTTGCTATTGACCAATTTGGCAATGGAAAGGGGAATTGAAATGCCTGAGTGTTGCATATAAATTTCACTACTGTATGTTTATTTACTTGTGATAATGATGTAGTTGTTTAGAACTCCACTAAAATGTTTTGTGCTCTAGCTCCTCTTCCTGACTCTGAATCCTCTAGCACTCTTATAGTTTACTTAGACCTGGAAAGAATTTAGCAATGAAGTGATCTATGCACGAGGAAGCAAACAGAAAATCATTGTTAGATCTGTATACAAGGAAATGGAGAGAGGAAAAAAAAAGCCATTGATGTATGCCAAGTATAGTTTAAGCCTATAGAAAAAGGAGCGGGCAGTGAAGAAATTTAATTTTCAAGCTGCTAACAGGTATGTAAGTGATGGAAATCATTTCAAAAACAAACTGTAACGTGTGGTTGAATATTCCTTCCAATTGCACAATTTTTAAATTAGGAGGTAAACACTGCAAATCACATTGTTTTAACTTGAAGTAAGGTAGTGCCTAACTCCACTGTGTTCCTGTGGAAAAAATGAGGTGGTGCCTGTAACTTATAGACAAGAAGGCTAATGTATTAGTTTTGTAATTAACTTGTGTAAATTGTGCATAACAGAGCAATTAACTACTTTAACCAAGCTTTGGAGGGAGACGAAGAAAAACCTGTGTGCGCTGGGAATGAGGGCATGGAACATATTCCCTAACTCAAACCTGAAAAACCTGGTGTTAGTCTTGGGTTATTTCCAGTGACCCCTTGACTCCCATCTTCCTGCCCCCTGCACAGATTTGGAACTGGTCAGCCATTTTTGTTTTTGGAAGGGAGAGGAGACAGATATAATGAATGGCTTTTATTGTGCAATATTTCAAAACCTTTTTGACTGCGTTCGGATGGGATGGAAAATGTTCTACCCTGTACTGTAGCCAAAACAAACAAAACATATTCCCTAAACCTGGATGTGTGTTTCACTCAAACTGGCAGTAGTTAGAGCTCTACTCTTAAACAAGAATTTAGTTTGACAATTTTTAGGCCTTGTTCAGCTGAATGTAACAGCCAAAGAAAATACGGGGAAAAAAATTAAATAATACACATATTTACAGCTTGCAGGTGGCATTAATTTTTGCAGTTCATAGTGTTTAGTTTCAAGAATCCCTGTTAGTTGGGATATATTGTAAATGTTAAAAAATATTCTTAATTGTCTTTTTTTAAATGAGTTTTTGCTTTTTTTTTTTTTATTTAATGAAAATAGTCATTCTGAAGGAAAATACATTTTATGTAGCTCCCTGATGGGTGATAAATAGCTGTGATTCAAGGCTTTAAAAGTTTAGGGTCTACCAAGAAACTGAAAATTCTGCAAACACAAGACCCAGCAATCTAGCAGTAAAACCTCTTGACAGAAACCTGCTAGGGCCTGGCTTCCAGCTCCACTAAAGTTTAGTTTAAATACCCTCTTTATGGTGCAGGCTTACTGCTGGTTTTTGGCATCGCCGGTCAGTTCAGTGAAGACCTTGCAGTGTGTAACCAAGATAATTCATGTTATGCAACATGTTTTATGGCCTGAGCAACCGTATTTATCGTTAATAATAATAACTTCAAATTTAGACACCTATGCCAAGAGGCCTCCGGGTATTGTAACAATGAAGAACTAAAACTGTAAACTATCAAAACAGACACCAGGCGTGGACATCCCACCCTGCCAGCCCTGCAAACACATCCTCTGTTCTTAATCCCACCCGCCAAAGAAAAGTCCCTTTGAGCAAATAAAATGCAAAACTCCTAGTGTTTTTAAGTAGATAAATGAACCTCATTTTAAAAATTATTATGATTAAATCATTAAAGATTACAAACAAGGTATCTTGAAGTCCGAAGAGCAGTTGTAAGAAAAATAGTGATTGTTCCTCAAAACCCTTAGTGACAAACCAAACAAACCAAGCCCAGAATCAGAAGTTTGGGTCTATTGGTCAGGGTTTCGTTTTGTGCTGTTCTTGAATTAAGCGTTACTCAGTTTTCTTGCCCTTTCTTTCATTTATTTGCCAGCCCTGTAGCATCAGGATGAAAAATATGAATCTACTATTACCATCCATTAAATCAACTGAGTTATACTGAAGACACTTTTGAAGTCAAGCTTCACTCTGTCATAAATAAGCTGCCTATGTCATACAAATGTTTGGACAAACAAATGCACTTAGTTCCATGTTCAGAAGGTCAGTAACACTGAGTTTTGGTAGTAAATATTCATTAATGCAAATCTGCTAAGGTTGTAAGGGAATTCATGTTTGAACTATGATTTGGATATGTTGAGTATCCTCCTGTGTGCTATCAAGAAAGTAATTGTGTGGTTACTAATATTAATGATTAATAGAAAGGTCCTTTCACTTTCCCCTCAAAAAAAAAAAAAAAAAAAGCACTCATGGCATGTTTTGCAAGAAAAGCTTTGTAAAGTTTATATAAGTACTAGGTAATGTTACATAGAGCTTATCTTAATGCTGAGCATTACATAATACACTCCACAGAACACGAGACTCAATTCACCCTGCATTTATTTGTCTCTTACACTGCTTGCTTCTCACAGTAGATAAACATCTGTTGTACCTTGCTGAGTTTTCCTGCATCCCTATGCTCCACTGCTTCTGGTTGAATGTTGGTTCACAGGGGGATGATCCAAAAAGGGAAGCAAAACAGTTGGTAGCACAGAGTGAGTGTATATGCAAGATATTGAGAGTTGAGCAAATTAAAGCGCTGCTGCCAGGAACTTCTGATGCCTGGCATAGCGCCGCTTAGTAGAGCCACAAGAAGCTTTAGTCACAGCCAGATCGGTGGTGTTAAGTGCCCTGGAATTGCACCTTTGCACAGGAGTTAAAGAAAATGATAAGACCATAGGCAGAATTAACTGTGTGGTTTCATAGCGACACACCGAATAGCCAAAGCTGTAAATTGTTCCTCTTTTATTAACAAAACCTCAGCTCCCGAAAACTGCTTTTTTCTCATTCCATTAAGGATCAGTAAGAGCTAGGGACTTGAAGTGGCAGTTGAAGAGAAGTCTTAAACTAAATCCTAGAACTTTCCGTTTCCACATTTTTAGCCTGCTTTTCTCTGCTTTCAGTATTGAATGGAGTGCAACTAGTATGACTGTGCCAAAAGCTGTTTAAACAATATTAAGATGTTTTCTTCAAACTTCTCCCTAGGAAGATACTCTTTTTCGAGAGGAATGTTTTCCCTGGAGCATTACATCATGAATTGGTTCAGTTCTTGGAGTAAGAAATTGGACCAAATGGTGGAGAAGGTCTCCAGGGGAAACATACTTATGCTGTTAAGTATTCCCACCAGAAAGCTTAGAAACCGCTTACATATTACCATTCTGTCCACATTTAGCCTTTCACCTTACTGCAGCTGAACAGAGGGTAGGGGGGGTGGTTAGACTTTTTTTAAAGAAACTTGAACCTCCTTTGTTTTTGTCATTACATTATTTTATTTTTTCCCCTCTTACTGTATCTTGCAAGCTGAGCTCTGGTAATGGAATTTCTCATTTTTGACAGTAATGCTGGGTAAGGTTGCATTTGTTTTGTATGCAAACTGTTAATGAAATCTTAATTATGAAAGCTTCCTTCGAAACTCTGAATTTAGTTTTGTTTGAGGATTAAAACAAGAGGAACCTCTGAGAAGACCAGAGGATGGAAGGATTTGGGTGGGTTTTTGGGAAAGCAGCCATATGAACAATGTGTGAGCTGGAGCAGTATTGTGTTACCTCTTGTGTATGGAATCGTTCCACATCAAAGATGGAGGCACTTGATATGGTTTCCTTTATCAAATGAAAATAGCAGAACAAGGCAGAATATACTCTTTATATCTAGTAGTGCAAGTCAATAGCTTTTTTTCTTTAATATGGAAATTCCACGCTGTAGAATCGTTCATTGAAAGCTGACAAACCTGCAGTTTCTGCCTTTTGTTTTGCAGACAAATTAAGGAGAATTGTTCATCTTTAGTTCACACAATTACCTTACAGGATATAAAATGAAAATACATACGAGTGTAATAAAGCCAGACATTACCAGAATAACCTCCTGAACAAACATGCCCTAGGGCAGGACACTCGTGTGGTCCCTTCGTGGCCTGAATTGACCATGGAGCTGAATTAGAAAGGAGCCTCCTGCAATACTTCTGAGTCGTGTTCCTGGGGTTATTTGGGCAAAACATATTCTGCTGTCCCAGATTTGTTTGATGGACAAAAATGATTTTTGTGTCCTGAGTCTTACGTAAAGCACCTTCAATCACTCTGCGGAAATTAAAAGCCTCATTTAATTTGTATCCCCCCACTCAAATGCTGTGATGCTTTATAATCATAAGGGACTACAGAGAAGGTCAAGCCCTAGAGATGCTTTCTGTTCCCACCCATTTGATATCTACTCCCTCAAAAAGTGCTTTTTCCTTAAAACAAAAACAAACAGAAAACACACAAAAACCAGCAAAACCAACCCACGACAACCAGGCAGCCTTTAACTGTTCGTACCAAGAATTCTGTGATTCCAAGAAGGACCGTTAAATTGGTCCAGCTGCCGAGGGACTGGTACTAAAATTGATGACTGGAAATTGGCACGGGATTGTAAAAGACTTCTGCCAAAACATTTGAATTATGTAATCTTATTAAATACATAGTAATTACACTGTGCATATTACTGCTGGGTTCAGGTTATGAAATCATAGAGTAGATAATGCGAGACTAGAAGAGGAGGGAAAGTGGTCTGAAGCATGCTGAAGTCATGGGAAATGCTTGTCTTGGCTGCAGTGTGTTTTAGGTGAGGGTGTATCAGTGATGCTGTATTATTCCAACAGGGAAGGGGCATCGGGATTTTAGGATCAGAGCTTGGCCCTATTGTCCAGAACCTCGATGCAACCAAACATTTAGATGTTTCATTTCTGCCATGGAATGAATGTAGCAAAGTTGATCATGGTGCATGCTTCTGACAAGGGCAATTCCCACCGTGTCTGAAGATCCAACAGATGGGGGTTTTCGTTTTGCAAGACTTATGCTGCTTCTGGAGTAAGTGTCAAGTCACATCAGTCTTCTTTATTGGGGGTGCTTCTCAGAAAATACATTGCAGTCACTCACGTGGCATAAACAGCTGTGAGGTTGGACCAGAACTTCTACAGCATTTCCTTGCACAGTCCATGCAAGATAGTAGTCCTGCAAGTGCTTCCACTTGGAAATCATCTTGCTTTGGAGAATTTCTATTTTTAGGAGTTTGTCTGAGTAAAATTATCACCAGCAGTGACATTTAGACTCTACCAACACTTTTGTTTTAATTCACAAACTCATTCCAATTCAAAAACTGTCCTCTACAGCCTTTTTTTCCCATATCTCCCAGAATGTGCCTCGAAATACCCTTCTGCTTAAACATCCTGAGCCATTAGGAATAGTTAGCAGAATGCTCACTTAATCTTCCTGCTGCAGTTAACAAAAAGTAAAAAGATATATTTACTTCTGCTTCCTTTCTCAGCCATTTTTTCACTGCAGAACAAACTTCTTAGAAGTGATTGCAGCAGATGATTTAGCAGTACGGCCAAATAGTCCCTGCTTGATTAAGATGGATGGTAGCTGTATTTGGAGCAATAGTAATTAAGGCTCCCATGGCAAGCAAAGAAAAATAACAAATTAATCTAATAAGAGCTTATGGGGAAACTTTTAAATTGAAAGGCATTTTTAAAATCCAAAATTCCTTAACACTAGTAAAATCTTAGTTTATTAAAGCTCAAAGGGTTATTAAAATCCAATAGCTTCCACTATTTCTTGTTTTTTTGTTTTTTGTTTTTTTTTTTTGTTTGTTTGTTTTTTTGTTTTGTGTGTGTGTGTGTGTGGTTTTTTTTTTTTTTTTTTCTGGTATTTGTGTATTTTTATTTTTTTAATTTATCAAAAACGTTGCAGTAGTTTTCAACACAGAATAGATACTTTCAGTTAAATGACAACATTTCTTTAAAATGAACTATATTTGTAGTATATTTTAATTCTCTTTTGATGTCATGCATACAAGTGACAACGTGTCCTGTCACAGAAACCCTTCTACATTGCATCTTCTGTCTTGATCAGGAATTCCTTCTTGAAATAGACTGAAAATGAATACTGCCAGCTCTAATAAACATCACAAACATTACACGAGGTTGTTTTGCTCATGGCATTCTCAAGCTCTTTTTTATTGTACAAATTATTGCATAATTTGGTGCCTCAGTTTCCACGTGCGGAATGAGATGAAGGCAGCAGAAAGCATGTTTGCTGTTCAAACCACATAGACACAATCCCTGAACTATTACTTTTTTAACTATTACTTTTTTCTTTTTTTTTTTTATTTTAACTATTTCTCTACCCATTCTGTCCCTGTGCTCAGAGGTGAATAGTTAATGTCTGGTGGTCAGCAGCATTAATGTTATTGCTGCTCAGGTGTGACTGACAGAAAAAGCCCCAATGATTTAAGGGTGGGACTACTTTTAGAAGAGAGGTGGCTTGTTCAGCCTTTTAAAGTCCTTAAGATAATGTCTTTTATATCTATGATTGATTTATTTGATATTTATGCAGTTGGCAGTGGGATTTGAAATATAACATAAGCACTTCCTGAGATGTCAGTACTCCGATGTTAGTGGTCTGAACAAGGATGTAATTCATATCTGCAGGTGCTTACTCTGGTATCAAACACTTCAATAACATCATGCTTGTGGAATCCGGCACTCCCCAGTGTCCCATTTGTATCCTGATATGCCCACGTCTTTCCTATGTGTGTTTTTCTTTCTTAAGGAGCTCTCATTTCCTTCAATAGGATATGTTTTATTTCATCCTTTTTCCTGCATTTACTCATATTAATGTCACCGCATTCACTGGTAATAGCTCGGCTTGGAAATAACCCGTGTATCCCTGAAAACACTGGGCCTGAAATTTAATGCCTCTGATACTTTATTAAGAAAGAATAGATGCTTAAGTGAAGGGAGGTAATCACTTATTTTCGGACTCTAATTTGATCTAACTGGTTGAAAGGTGCATCAAGCATGCTCGACCACAGGCTGATGGCAGCCTCTGAGAGTCCTGGGATGAACATTTTCTGGGGCTTTTCTGCTAAATGGCCGTGCGGTTTGAAACTGGATGCTGACAGAGGGAAAAAACAAGACCATAGACACATCGTAGGCTTCTCTTATGAAAATCGATGTAGAAGGAAAATAACAGAAGCCAGATCATGGGCTCTCACTCATGAGTAAGGTCTGAGAAAGGATTTCATCATGGTGGTGAGATCAGCTGACGCTCCTGGAGCTGTATTTCCAGCTCTACAGCTGGTAGGGTGTTTTGCTTGCTCTTTGTGCCATGAAACCTTATCTTTCAGTAACTCCTTTCCTTTCTCCTAGTTTATTCCATTTATGAAATGTGTGCGTTTAGATCACAGCCTGTTTAAGGGATAGTTGCCACTTCACTGGCTTTGCAAAGCAAGGTTGCACCTTTTGGGGGATCTAAGAATAAAGTATTGTGTAAAGAAGTGCTTGTTAGC